GCGTCTGTTCTGTGGTTTTCAGCAAAATTTATGTGGCAGGAATGTGAACTCCTGCTGCAGGTCAGCATCAGTCACGGGGGACGGCAGCTGTTGGAGCGCCTCAACGCGGGCGGTGTCATGCTTGACCGCCCGCACCACCTGGTCTCGGTCACGTAGAAACTGCACTTTTTCGGGTGCAGCTTCAGACCCTTGTTAGCGCACACAGCCAACACGTCCGCCAGCACACCCAACAATCCCTCGCGGGTACGATGGTACCCCAAGAGGTCGTCCAACCAGGCCAACATCCCTTTGTACAACTGCTCGGAGAACATCTCCTGCACGGTCGACTGGCAGTACGACACGCTGTCGCTGCCACCCTGCATCACGCGAGTGGAGGAATATACATCAGTGTCGGTCAAAAAAGAGAACATCTCCTGGCAGCTGGGGTCGAGGGCGAACTGCCAGTACCCCTTGAAGAAATCAAGGAGGAAAAAACACACAGCGCCACTCAAATGATCCACCACCACCTCCAACATGGGGTTCGGCCAGGCGATCTGCTCGGTTTGGCTGTAGATCGGTCGCAGGTCCACCGTCATTCGGTACTCATCCTTGGTGTGAGGCTTGCGTACGATCAGGGGGGCGAGGCCCACCGGCTGCCTCCAACTCCTGCACATGTTGCTGCATGAATTCTCGTTGTGGCAGGGAGTACCGACTGGCCTTGCATCTTATCGGCCGCGCCCCATTGTCCAAGTGCACCTTCAACGGCGGCATCTTGACGGGTGGGTCGCGGCCCAGACTCAAACGGAATACGTCGACGTACTTGTCGAGGAGCGCTGCCAAGTTGGCGGCAAACTCACTTCCGCAGCCGGCGGTCACGGCCTCAACCACCTTCGCATCCAACACCACCTTGACTTTGGCGGTCTCAGCGGCAGCATCGATGGCAACCATGTCGGGGAAACATGAGTCCATCTCCAGGGGCATCAGCTCCTCCTCTTCCTCGGCCAGGTCATCCACGAGCTCGTGGGACACGGCCAGCACGGCCTGTACGACCCCGCTGTGCGAGACCGCGTCGGCCATGTCGATCGCATCGGTGAAGGACGCGGCCTCACGCAGCATGGCGCGTGGGTCGAACCCCAACCTTATACATGATGGCGCGGCTCAACAGGATGTCGCCGACGTTGGCGGGCAGGTTGCCCGTCGACACCCAGCACTTGACATTCGTGAGCATCAGCGGGCCGGCGTCCGTCTCGAACCGCAGGTCCATCGTGGCTTCGTCAGTGACGGTGTGGGCAGGGCCAACAAACCCCTTGACCTTAATGGGGGTATTGAGCTTGGTCACGAGGACGTTGCGGCCTTGCTTTTTGAGTTTGGCCAGCGTCGCGGGGGGTACCACACTTTGATCGGTGGCGGTGTCGAAGGACGCGTCCAGCGAGACGGCCTGACCAGCCACACACACAATACGGGCAGCGCATATCACGGCATTGTCGAGGGACACCTCGGCAACGTCGACCGTCTCGACGACGGTTACCGACTTGGTTTCCTTCCAGATGGAACGGGCACGTTCCATCAGGAGCTTGGCTTCCCCGTTACGACCTTAGAACACTTTGTGCTCGGTGCTCAGGCACTTGAAACACGCAAGCTTCTCTTGGGTGAAGTTCGACTTCGGGACCTTATCGACGTTCACGACGGCCACGACCTTGGGGGCCTTCCTAGCCTTGAGGGTCTTGGTCGCCGCGGGCAACTTGTCGGGCTTGGAGATGGCGAGCACCGCCGCGGCCATCAGCGGCTCGAAGTCGCCGTAGCGACCCATGTAGTCCGCCAGCCAGCGCTTGAAATCGCGCGCGTCCTTCTTGAGGCTGCGTTTCTCGTTCAACTTCATGAGCTCCTTGACACGGGCGCGCACGGCCGGTGGCTGCATGGCCGCGACGAGATAGTTGACAGTTAGTTATGGCTCGGCCTCCGCAAACCCCTCCATTGAGAGGCGCACGAGTATCGCCTCGAAATCCTAGACTAATTTTGACACCCGGGACTCGGCGGACTGCACGGTCGTGTCCATCTTAAGCTTGGCCATCGCGGCGACCAACTTGGACATGTCCAAAGCATCGTAGTGCTTGGCACCAAGGAAGAAAACCTTCCAGTCCTCCTCCGTCAGCTCATCACTGGCCTTCCCGATCTCCCAGTACGCGATGCGCTCGACCGATAACGGGTCGATGCATGCGCTCAGCGGCGTGCGCTGGATGTGAGCACCAACAGGGCGCTTTGCGTTCGCGATGTTAACTTCACGGGCGTACGCCTCGTACTGGTCCATGAACTTGCGCATCTGCACCTTGGTGATGCCGCTAAACGACGCGGCCATCGTCACCTCTTGGAACCCATGGACGACTTGGTCTCCCGCGACCGCGGGGGCAGGAGGACCTTTTTTTATCACACACTAAATAACGAAATCCACACAGAAATGACCGAAAAAAACACAAATTTAACGAAAAACACACACGACCCAATAACACAATACAAATCCCGAGTTCCACACAAACTTCGCCGAGCACAACACACAATTCGCCGAATTCCACACAAAAATGCCTAATCCACACCAAAATTCCTGACCAGTTACGACGGAAATAGAAAACATCTGACCCATCCATTTCCAGCTTGCGGACAAATTGGGATCGATCCCTTGGGAAAAATATAACTTCAGTGATACAGCAATCATGCTGTCATCATGCTATCATCATGTTGTCATTATGTTATAGTCACCGCATGTTACTGTGAATTGTCATAATTTTAAAGTAGTACTACTAGTACTACTGTCGCTTGTCACAAAGAAAAAAAGATTATTCGCCGAATGAGCTGCTGTGCTGTTACTTCTCCCTAGGACTCGGGTGGTTAGTGCTTCAACTGTTGGACAGTGTGACATTTCATCCACCGGAATTATGGCTTCCCGAAGGTACCCATCCCAGAATGCGAAGTAACGTTGCACAACAGAATATTTACACCATGGTCGCTTTCGCAGTTCTAGCGGTGCTCACTCTATTGTCCCCCATTATTCCCCAAACTAATACCCTGTGCGGGATTTGAACCCGCAACCTTTGGGTTGTAACCCCAATGCTCTACCCGTGTGAGCTATACTCTTACTTGATAAATAAGGAATAATTAGTGCTACCGTATCCGATAAATTTTAGGGAAATAGACGGGTGTCATTGGACGAAAGTTCTGACAATATTTGATAAACATCCAATGACATGAGGGTTCCGTTGTTTAGAGTGCTGACATTGGCCAAAATTAGAATACGATAAATAATAAGCTGAAAATAGGAATGGATTTCGATTGGCTTAAGTCGAACATGCCTAACCAATAGGAATTAAATGTGATTATCGTGTAGCTTAATTTTAGTGTCCGTAACAGTAATGAACATAGAGAGTTGTATTCAAATTAAGGTGTGCAGCATCCTACTAAGTACTAGACAAAGTCTACTTAGTTTCGCATGTCGCGGTCTCCACGCAAAGGAAACACGTTGGCTTCAGCATTTCCCCGACGAATTCGGCTCACCATATTCTGTACGTTCCATGCCAGGCAACACCATGCCAGTCTGGGTCGCTACCATGATGGCATGGGAGCAGATGCCTGCATGCACATGCGTAGTGGTGTGGTAGTCGACCCCCTTGCGTGGTTCATTCGTGTGCGGGGCTGCATGGTGGTTGGTGCTGACATGGCGATGGCGTCTGCCGTCGTTGAGGAAGGAATACTCAACGACGGCAGACGCCACAGCCGTGTCAGCACCAACCACCAGCCACTACATTGACAAGTGTGGTGGTCGTCAATGTAGTGGTTGGTGCTGTCGTCGGTTCGTGTTAAATTACACTGAGAATTCAGTGCACATTAATTTTACTAATACTATCAGTCCATAGTAGTACTACATCTTTGAATTTACCGGTACAGTCACTCAAGAGTACTCTGTCACGGCGTCCCAACCCAAAACTCAATTAATAAAGTGTGTGACTGACCATAAGAGTACCTGATGACACGCCAGTAAACAAACACATGATTATACTCCCTTGGGATCATCCCCAATGAATACTGGTAATGGAAGCCCATGTGTTTTCTATGTGGTTTTCGTGAAAGTTTGTGTGTATTTTTTTAGTGTGTGATAAAAACGGGGTCTCCGGGGGCAGTTGTCGGCCATGCAACAGCCGGCACCGAGGTCCCCGAGAAGGCATGCCAACGGGCGCTAGTTCGACGTCGCATCTCCTCCAGCTGCCCGCCGTGCTTGACAGACGCGGCGGCAGCTTGGTGCAAACCTTGCTCGTGGGCCTCAGTCTGCTTCTTCTGTGCGTGCTGCTGATCGACGAGGACTTCTTGTCGGCGGCGCTGCTCCTCTAGCTCAGCCATCAGACGATTGTTCATTTTCATTTGCTGCTGCGAATGCAGCTGTTATTGATGGTGCAGGTGCACCATTTGCTCGTAGGTATGTCGCGTCTGGGCGCCGACAGCATTCTGCGCGTCGTCCAGCCGCGCGGATTGTTCGTGGACAGCTGCCTGCACTTGATTGCCCAGGTGCTGACCCAACCGCTGAACGGCAGCGATTTCTGGGGGGTAGGCCGCGAACGGCAACGACATCGTGGGTGCGTATTGCACTCTTGAGAGACGGTGCGTCGGAGCCCCAGACCAGCCGTTCCCGGTGGAGACGACATTCTCTCGGGGGTATGTTAGTCACAGAGAACGAACAGGTGCTGTGTACGAGTAAAATGTAGATCGCTGCAAACGAGAGAGATCAAACACGACTAGATGCACACAAACTTGTGGGCAACAGGAGACTTTGACTAAAGAATTCTTTGTTGTATCTCAACCACTTCAACACCGATACCAAAACGTTGGAATATTCAAAGGTAAAAGGCGAAGTGAGTGACAACGTGCTAGTTGTGAATAAGGTACCTGCAAAGCAAGGCTAGTTAGTACATCGGTCATGTTGCGAGGAGTATCGACCGAGGCTGGTTAAGCCTTGGTAATACCAAAAAGTGATTAGGTGGTTAGTCTTGCCTATTGAATGGACTTTGTAGTCCTTGACGTCTCTGTCTTGGTTCTTGTATGTGTGATACATATGGTGGAGGGGCTGACATGATCGAGTATGGGTCATGGGACCAACATTCCTCAACACTCGCCTATGTTGATACCTGAGGACGAGAAGTGCCAGTAGAACGAGCACACGACGCGCCTTGATTGGTCGACCTTTTGATTCCTTGATCCTGATTGGGGGGACCTGGGGGTCTTGAAGTTGTCGATTGAGTGCCGGGTCGGTATCTCAGTGAGTGCGTCGGCGAGTTGGTCGGCTCTACCAACGTGGTGGACGCTCGGGCGGCCAGCTACAATGACTTGGCGAATCCAATGGTGCCGCACTTCGATGTGCTTGCTGCGCTCGCTGATGGCCGTTGTCTCTGCCGTGCCTAGTGGGACGAAAAATTAGGTTTTTTTTAATTCAGCAGAGAAAGCTCTGATACAGTTTGAGGACGTGATTCCACGGGCCTTACACAGCACAAGCAACCTCATGCCGCCCAAGAAGAAGGCGAACACACCCTTTCAGGATGTCACGCGTATGGTAGCGACCGCCGAGAACCGAGTTCTCCGGATCTGGTGCGCACCGCACGAAATCGATCTAGTCGTCAAGCAGGCCACGGAGTGCGTGGCAGATGGCACGTGAATCAAATTCACCGGCCCTTCGCGATCTTCATGTATCAGCAGACCAACCTCACGAAGCGCATGAACGTCAGTGTCCCAAGCAGTCAAACCAGTGGACCCACCTCGGCCGCCTACTCACGATCCAGAAGAGCAACCGCCTAGAGCCGATGGAGTTCAGCGTTGAGAAACGTCCGGACAACGCGCGACCTGCGAACGGTGGCTCATGACGTTCTGCATCGCCCCGATCATCGATGTCGTCAACATCACGTTCGCCATTCTGCCGAGCCGGTCCCTGCGCATCGTGCAGTAGGCGTTGCACATCTACGCGCAGGTCGGCACGGTGACAGATATGCTCAACGTCGCGATCGTGGACCAGGGCGAGTTCAACGACGAGGAGCACGAGTCGTTTGATTCGATGCCCATCTTGGTCGACTCGATTGTTCATTTGCCAGGAAGTGCTACGACAAGCTGAACCCGGACGAGCAAGTCGTCGTCGTCCGCGAAATTGTCGAGTACACCATCACGGTGATCAGGGGCTTCGTACCGATCGTGATGATAGCAATAATCCGCTGGAAACCGACGCACCGCCGGTGCTACATGGCGTGTGGGTACGACGTGCTCACACCGCACTAGATGAGGAGATCGATCAGCTCGAGGCACTGAAGAAGTATTATCACAACGACGAGATTCCGCGCCCAGCCATTGACTCGCACGACTAGAACACAATCTTCGACGACGCCTGGAGCGTCTGTCCTGGGAAGTGTAACCACCTGTGCGCCTTCAGTGGCCGCCTGGCCACCTCTGCTTCGCCAATACCGTCGCTGACGAGAGCGATATCTCCATCCTCACATGGGAGATGGACGAGAATCGCACGGATGTATCTGTCCCTGGAAGGTGTCGTCCAGGCCAAGCAGAAAACGATGATGCCAGTAGTATAAACATCACGACGATCCCTTTTGGCACCTTAAAATGGACGTTTTTGGCACCTTAAACCGCCTTTATGTGTAAGACGACAAACTAACACTGGCGAGGACGACAAAATAAACTAATTTGTTTATTTCGTCGTAAACGACAATTTTAGGAGGCCTGCCCAAACCACTCTCACCACTTGACTTTTTCAACAGGCGTTTTGTCCATATGACTCCCTCCCAATTCCGTGCCTGCCATCCAACTACTAGACCTCTTGATTATAGTTTAATATTTTAACCAGTGACTGTACACTTTACTAGAACAATTATGCGTTCTTGGAAGGATTTTTATGACTGGCTATTGATCAAGATGATAGTATATAACCGGA